AGAAAATATAGCTAGCTCATAACTCCAACTCTGTTGTAGAATGTTGGCAGGAGTGTTCTGAGGCAGGATGGAGGGAAGAGAGGGTGGGAAGAGACAGAGGGTGAGTGAATTGGAAGAGGGAGAAGGACAGATGTGCAGTAAAGGGTGGGATGGAGCCAGTGAGCTGGCCAAGCTTCCGTTGGTGAGTGTTTGTAAAAGAATAATCCTGTGTGCTGATTTCTCTCCCATAGCTCCACCCCTTCCTTATAGGACTCCCCCCCCCCCGTCCCCACCTGTCATTCTTCCTCCCTGTGGCACCTGTGGGTGTGGGTAGGTCTCCAAGAACTTTAGTGCTGGACACATCATTGCAGAAGTCACTATGGCGACACACACGGATGTAGGAGACGATAGAGAGTCCAGGACCGGTCCTGAGCCAGGTAACCTGGGGCTCTTGGTCCTCAATCTTAACACAGCCCTTGCTGATCAACAAGTTTATTTGGGGTCCTGGATGGAGAAGGGAAAGCGGGTGGAGGTGGGGATTGGGATTTCAGGATCCTGGAGTGAGTGTGGGCATCCCGAAGTGGGTGAGATGCTAAGAAAGAAGGGACTGGGCATGGATGGGTTGCACCTTCTGCTGAGGGAGAGTCCCTCCCAGGGATGCAGGATGCCCAAGGGCAGTGGGACCAGGCTCTTCAGGGGGTTTCTTACCATTCTCCAGAAGCATCACCAGGTCTTGGCAACCGTCACCAACCTCACAAGTTTCCTCGCCGATGTTCCACTTAAGGGGCAGCTCTGAGGCATTGCGCACAGCCTCTATTTTGCCGCTTTGGCATCTCAGAGCTGGTACACCTGGGTTGGGAAGATCAGCTTCATCTCAGTCGGTTACCTTGTTCCACCTCCTGGGACAGATGTCCCCTTCCAGGTGGGATTTTTCATGTACCAGGTAGCAGAGTCGTGACACCCAGGAGGGTCAGCACTGGCATAAGGTTCATGACTCCTGTCCCTGGCTAGAAATGCCTCCAGCGCTCTTAGAGCAGGAAATGCAACCCTTTTATACCCAGGATTACCCAGGGCAGCTCAGGAAACGGGGGAGTTGCCATGCAATAAACACCAGACTAGAGCCCCACCCTGAATCTACTGCTAGACTCTTGGAATAGTCCCTACCCCTGGACTGAAGAGTACAGACCCAGCCTTCAACCCTTAGAACCAGGAGGGATCCAGCTCCCAAACCCTCCTCCCTTGGGCTGAAAGATCTTGGTCTAAGCCTTGCCACTAACCCAGGGGTCCACATCTCGACAGCTTCCCGAGAGCTAGGAGTCTAGGACCCGGCCATCCTTTCCTCAGCCCTAGGGATTCAGACCCCAAACCCCTTGGACTTAGGAGTCCAGTACTCATCCTTCTTCAGGCTGACAGTTTGAGAACCTAACTATCCTCCCTCAGACCCAGGAATCCAGACACCAGGTCACCTTCCTCAGACTGAGGACCCCAGGGCCAGCCCTCCTCCCTCAGACCCAGTTCTCCAGGCCCCAGGTCCACTTCCTCAGACCCTGCTCCTTCCACAGTAAGAACTAGAGTTACCCTGCTCCCCATTGACCCAATGGCACTTCCCTTTGAGCCACCCATGGGGCCCCTACCATGTTTCCAAGTATTACAGGAACCCCATTTCTTCATCTCAGGGCTACTCAGCTACCTTCTAGTCAGGTGGGGAAATGGGTCAACTCTGTGAGGATATTGCAAAATGTACCTCAGGCCTTCTTGCCCTTGTTTCTGTCCCCCACTGGTAATCTCTGTCTCCCTGGCTTTTTTCCTGCATTGCCTTTTTATCTGTTCCTCCACCTTTAGAGATGGTCCTCTGTGGTTTTTTTTTCCTCACAGAACAATTTATGCCCTGGAGCCTTCACTTCCCTCCCATCTGGGAAGCAGCTGAGCAGGTGTTGGCGGAGGGTGAACATCTATGGAGAAGTAACATATTTCTTGTAGGGTTGGAGTACTGATAGCTCTGTGGTAAAGAGAACTGGCCGCTCTTCCAGAAACCCCAGGTCCAGTACCGAGCACCCACTCCCACATGGCAGCTCCCAAGCACCTATAACTGCAGTCTCCGGGCATCTGACAAACTCTTCAGCCTCTTTTGGTCCCAGGTATGCACGTGATACACATACACACCTGAAGGCAAAACAAGCACATAAAATGAGAATAAATTTAAAATGGTATTTCTTGGCAATGCAAAATTTCCTTGTTGCAAAAGGACTGGAAAAAAAATGATTTCCTAGAAATTTTTTTTCCAGAAAAATGGTCTCCATAAATGTTGGCCTGGTTTGGTTGTTGGCACGCATTCTCTTGCAACACTTAGCTTGTGCGCTGCAGGGCCCTGAACCAGGCAAGCACTTTTGAACTGAACCACAGTCCTAACCCCCTTCTTTCTTCTTTTCATTAGATGCCATTGCTAAGACTCATTCCCTAGGGGAGACATAACATCTACCCCTCCCGCAAAGGTCCCAACGACAACCCAAGGTACGATTCTACCAAGTTCCCCCTCGGGAACCAACGCCTTTACTAGGCTCACTGGCAGAGCAATGGAGGTCGTGGGCAGGAGCAGAGGTGGCCTTAAAGCAGTCACACTGGGAGGTGACTGAGGACTCACTTAAGGCCACACAGATGAGCCCCCTCCCTAGTCTTTCCCAGCCTGTGTACTTCTGGCTTGTCCCTGAGGTCACATGTAATTAGGGCAGAATTGCATACACCTGTTGCATATGCCCAGCCGACTGGGCCTGCTACTCGGGTGAAGGTCCTGTGACTCTCCCCTCGCCGCCCTCTGGCCACAGGTGGCACTGGCAGGGAATGATCAATAGTCACCAGCTATGGTGGTCTTTTGCAAGTGGGCACAGCTGGACTCATGAAGACAGCAGGAATTTGACTCAGAGGACAGGCGTGCCCAGCAGGACCGCAAAACCACCAGTCCTGAAATCGACTGCAGGGTTGGGGGACAGGGCTTGCTCAAGGCTTTGGAGGTCAGTTGTAGTCTTCATTCAAGACTCAGCTCTGGGTCCTCAGCCCACAGTCTGGCTGAATCGCGTGCTTGGTTTCTCCTCTGCTGGCAGAGCAGCTCATCTGCCATGAGGGGGCTGGGGCATGTTAGAACTCGCACCAGATATTTGCCCATAGTTTTGAGCCAGACTCCTGAGCACTTAAGTGGCATATCCGTATCCATGGAGACGGATATGATTCTACATGGTATCCTATGAACATTTCTTCCTGAGAGATAACAGTGCCAGAAAACACCTTCCCAAACTTCCTTACTGACATGAGAAGGAAGCAATTTCCCTCTGGGTTTTCCAACAGCTCCAACGTTGGCACCTACCACAGCCCTAATCTTCCTGGGGTATGACTGTCTCTTCCTCCTAATTCTAAGCAGGGCCCTGCATGAAGCCCTCTCTGCACAAGGCCAGTGGAGTGAGAAGAATCTCCCACCCCATTCTTCTTCAGAGCTGCTCAAGGCGTGATTCTCTTTTATATTATTATTATTACTGAGTGCTAGAAGTTGGACCTAAACCCGCACAGGTGAAGTGCTCTACTGCTTAGCTACAGCCCAAGCCCCAATTTTGTTGGTTTTCAGCAACAGTCTTTGCCTCCTATCTGTTGAATTCTTGACTAACTAAAGCACACTGGGGGCTTTGGGTGGGTGGAGAAGGACTTCTTTAGGGTGAACAAAACCCTGGGTCTGATCCTCAGCTCCAGCTCAACTGGGCCTGGTGGTCCACCCCGGTAATCCCAGTACTCTGGGGGCTGAAGCTGGAGGACCTCAAGTTTAAGGCCAGCCTAGGCTACCTTGGGAGGCTTGTGTCTCAACAAGACAAGAAGAGAAAAGAAAAGTAGAAAAGGACTGGAGAGGTGGCTCAGCATTAAGAGGGCATGCCGAACAGACTAGAATTCAATTCTCAGCACCATGTCGCACAGTTCACAGCTGCCTTTAACTAGCTCTGGAGGGGCTATTCAAGCCCCTCTTTTGACCTCCGAGGACACGCGCACATACATGTACATACCCACACAGACACGAATATATGTATGATTCTAAAAAGCTAAAAAACGAAGAAAAAGAGAAGTGAACGCTTGGCTCACAAAGCCAGGAAATGGTGGCCAGGAGCAGGACTTTTAACACCATTTTCTGCTGCTCAGATGCCCAAGTCACTTGAGTGATCCATTTCGAATTTCTTCCCCTGCCAGTGCCCTGGGTTCTCTGGAAAAGGAAAGGTATGTGCTGGGCACAGTGACTTGCATTTGGGTTGAAGCGCATATGATAAAGGAGGGAGGTAGCTCTGTAGGTACAGCGCTTGGTGTGTAAGCATGAGACTTGAGTTAGATCCCCAGAACTCAAGCAAAAAAAGCCAGGCACAGTAGCATGTGCTTGTAAGTCCAGCACTGAGGATTCTGGAGTCCTTTAGACAGACAGCCCAACCTAATCAGCAAACCCCAAGTCCCAATGAGAGAGCTTGTCCTAAAACACAAACCATGTCAGGGGAGAGAATGGGGGATTCCTCGGAGGCTAAAGTGTTTGTTTTGGAAGCATGAGGACCAGAGTTCAGATCCCCAATCTCCATTTTTGGGTCCAGAGTGGGGTGCACAAAGATGGGGACAGACCACCAAAGTCTAACAAACCAGAAGTAAACTTTATTCCAGAAACCAGAATCCAGGAAAAAAAATAAAAAATAAAGTAAAAAAAATCTCCATGGGAGACAAAAACCTTATTAGCTAGCTGAGACCACAGCCAGAGATGGATTTTGTTAGGCTGTGACAAAGGCCGGTTTCTGAGCCCACCTTTTTATAGTAGGGGCACCAAACATTAGGTCTGAACAAGCGAATTTTTACAATCTCAAGGTAAAAGTCAGATACAGATTGTCTTAACTTTACAATCTCCATTAACAGAGTCTTTCAGTTAAACTAGTGTTTGTACTTAATCTATTGCCTTCCTTGTTCTTCCAGGTGGTGTTTACTGAAGCCCTGTGATCTCCCCTTTGATGCTGCCAGTTTCACATAGCAGGGAAAATGTGTAACCCAGAGGTCATATATCCATCTCCTAACTCAGCTCATACCTGTGTTAATCAAGGATGGCTGCGGGTGTTAGGCTCTCAGTTTGCAGAGAGATGCTTTGGCCGTGTAAACAGAGCTATGGGTTGTAAAGCAAAATAACCCACTGTTAATAGTTAATCCTCAAGCTGCTGTTCTCATTCTCCTAGGCTTACAACTTTATATTTCTTTATTTCTACATTTTTATTTTTGAAATCTACATTTTTATATTCTTTTTCTTGGACGCTTCACCCATTTTAATGTCATGTTGTAGCTGCTAATGGAGAAATCCTCAGGGAAGAAAATGGATAGAACCAGATCATCTTTAAATGCTTTTTCAGTACCATCCCTGTTTTCCTTCCTTCCTTCTCCTCCCCTTCCTTCCTTCCTTCCTTTCTTCTTTCTTTCTTTCTTCTCCTTCCCTCCTTCCTTTTTTTGTATTTATTTGTTTTTACATCCCAACTTCAGTTTCTTCCCCCTCCCCACACCTCCCTTCTCCCATCTACTCTTCCTCCATTTCTCTTCAGAAAAGGGCAGCCCCCGCCCCCCCCCCCCCCCCAGATATCAGCCTTGGCATATCAAGCTGCAATGAGACTAGGCACTTTCCTCTTCTATTAATGCTGGATAAGGTAAGTGAAAAGGGTGCCAAAATCAGGCAACAGAGTCAGAGACAGCCCTTGCTCTCAACTCTAGGAGTTCCACAAGAGGACCAAACTACACAACTGTAACATATGTGCAAAGGACCTAGGTCAGTCCTATGCAGACTCCCTGGTTGGTGGTTCAGTCTCTGTGAGCCCCTATGAGCCCAGGTTAGTTGATTCTGTGGGAGTATTTGCTGTTTCTAAGTGTCTGGATTCTCAGGACTCAGGAGACTGAGGCAGGAGGATTGCTGTCAGTTTGAAGCTAGCCTTGACTGCATAAGTACTGGACCAGTTAGGGTTACACAGACAGACCCCATCTCAAAACAAACAAACAAACAAACAAACAAATAAAATCTTGTCCAATAAATAGTTGGAGACTGGTAAATAATAATAATGTCCATTAGGCTAGGTTCCTCAGTACCTGATCCACAGTAGAATCTTATGACATAGTATTGTAATCAAAATATAATCAGGAAATGACCTGGGCTGGGGAGGAGGCACAGGGGATAAGAATGATTTCTGAGCAAGCTCATTGACTTGATTTTAATACCAAGAACCCGTGTAAAAAGCTGGGAGTGGTGACATACACTTGTCACCCCAGTGCTGTGATAGGCAGAGGCAGGAGGATGGATAGGACTGCTGAGTATTTTCCCTTAAATGACCAACTTCTCTGCAGACACAAATAATCCCAATCATACCAAATCAGACGGAATTAAAAGATACCCAGGTTTAATGGGTGCCAACACTCCCGGGTGGCTCCAGGGAAAACACGGAAAGAGAAAGAGGGAAAGGGGGAGATCGTGTGTTCATTCTCTGGAGGGCAGTTTAAATAGCCTATGGGGGTGGTCTTGACCTTCTCTAGGGAGGGGTTACCTTTGGCAGGCTTTCTTGGAGGTGCAGTTTGGACTGAAGCAACTCCCAGGGGAGAAAGCTTGGAATGGAGTTTTCCACCCAACATTCCAAAAATGGATGCCATGAGGCTGGGGTGAAACCCCCCAACTAAACAATCCAGACTTTTTGTATAAAGGGGTGTTAGGGAGCTGAGGTGATGCTTTCGACCAAACAAGGACTTCTTGGCCACCAGTCTAGCTCCAGGTTCAGGGAGAGACCTGTCTCCATGGAAGTTGGCATTGCCCTCTGGTCTCTGTACATTGGCACACAGGTGCATGTCCCCCCAACAGAAGTGTGCCACACCACGCACACACACACACACACACACACGCACACACACACACGAAGGGAAGAAAAGGAGCAGTTGGCACACTTCCTGGATACCCCCATGATTGCATTTTATGTTGTGCTATCTGTAAATCAGAGCCTCCATGGGATATGTGTGCTGTGTGCATTTATAGAGACAAGGAAATTTAAGATCCCAGTGTCTTCCTGGTATGTGATATACAAAATCTTTCTTTCTTTCTCAGATCCTTATATTTGAATAAAAAGAGTCAAGACAAGATTACATTTTGAGCAGAACCCAGTGGCAGAGGCCTAAAATCTCAACCATTCGGGAAGCTGATGCAGGTAGATTTTAAATTCGAGGCTAACCAGGGAAACGTCATAAGGCCTTGTCTCAAAGTAAAATGTTTTTGTTTTTTATTTTTTTAATATTTATTTATTATGTATACAATATTCTGTCTGTGTGTATACCTGCAGGCCAGAAGAGGGCACCAGACCCCATTACAGATGGCTGGGAGCCACCATGTAGTTGCTGGGAATTGAACTCAGGACCTTTGGTAGAGCAGGCAATGCTCTTAACCTCTGAGCCATCTCTCCAGCCCCGTTTTTGTTTTTTTATGGTTTTTTGTTTTTAAATAAGAGCTGGAGGTATAATCTGGGAATAGAACACTTGCCTGGAATCTACTCACGAAGGGCTGGAAGTGTCTCATTGATAGAATGTTTGCCTTGCATGCAAGAAGACGTTGGGGGTCAATCCCTTGGTTAAGAAGGAAACAAAAAGAATGGGGGGGGGGCAACACTCAGTGGGCAAAGGCACTTGTCACCAAGTCTGGAGCCCTGAGTTCAATCCCTGGGACCCACATGATAGAAGGTGACAACAGAGTCCTGTGAGTTGTCCCCCACAGGTGTGCCACAGCACAGGGTGGGACACACGCGCACCAAGGACACAGAGGGCAGCGGGCAGTCTAAGACTTCCAGTGCTGGGAGTGTGAGAGAATGTTTTGTTTTTTAAGCTGCCCAGTCTGTGACACTTTGTTATAGCAGTGGAGGAAGCTATACAAGGACCCTGGAAGTTTATCTTGGGAGTCGGTATCACCTATCCCCACTCTTCTCCTAGGTCAGAGTTCCTAAGACAATGACACAGCCTCTGACCTACAAGATAAGACATCAAACCCAAGTCAGTCTGGCTAGGGAAAAAATTCCCACCATTTCCAAAGAAGATATTGAAGCTCTCGGGGCCAGAGGGAATCGTTTTGGGAAGGCTAAGAAACACAGTTTCTAGACCTCAGCCCAACTCTGCAACAGCCAGACTAGCCTTGAGAGTCAGCCTTGCGGTCCTTTCCTCCTTACTACTCATGGAAACCTCTTTAAGGATCGCCAGCAAAGTAGCCCTTCCTGGGAATCAGTGTGACTAACCTGGCCCCTTTTCTGGTGGCACGCCTTTCCCATAGATTTAGGGAGCTGCCGTCTGACACTGTCCACCCAACCCCGAGAGCCTCCTCCTTGGTGGTGCCTGTACTCTCACGGGCATGTGCGTGGGGCACACTGGCTCTCTGTACCAGTCTCCTGAGGGCCATGGGGCACGCTGGATCTCTCTACCAGTCTCCAGAGGACCGTGGGGGCACGCTGGCTCTCTGTATCAGTCTTCAGAGGACCGTGGGGCACGCTGGATCTCTCTACCGGTCTCCGGAGGACCGTGGGGCACGCTGGCTCTCTGTACCAATCTCCAGAGGACCGTGGGGGCACGCTGGATCTCTCTACCGGTCTCCGGAGGACCGTGGGGCACGCTGGCTCTCTGTACCAGTCTCCAGAGGACCGTGGGGCACGCTGGATCTCTCTACCGGTCTCCAGAGGACCGTGGGGCACGCTGGATCTCTCTACCGGTCTCCGGAGGACCGTGGGGCACGCTGGCTCTCGGTATCAGTCTTCAGAAGGCCATCCGCATCCTCTCCATTCCCATTTATTTATTTTTTCTTTTCAAGTCCGTAGCTGTAGCCAGAGTTCCCGCAGAACTCCACCGCTGGCTTGATTCCGGAGTGTTAGTACCTGGCCTTTTGCGTCATCCATACCTTCTGTCTGAAGTATGTAAATCTGATCTGGGAGTTTCCTAAAGGTTCAAAGCCTATGCAAAAACTTGGCTGTGGGAGGACTCAGAAAACAGGTGTCCTGCGACTGGGAATTGCTTTGGCATTTGTCTCTTTGGGGAGCTTCAGATAAGAGGTTTTGGTATGGGGAAATTGACTTGCTAAGGTGTAAATTGTATAATAATAATAATAATAATAATAATAATAAAAGCCTTTGGCAAAGCTACAGTCAGTCAGTTCACCAGAGGTTGATTCCCCTACATCTAAAATTCATGCTAGAGTGACCCTGTTTCTCCCAAAAACCCGAAGCAACACTTTGCCCTGTGGCTCAGCATAGGTCCACACCAAGGCAGACAGAAGGCCATGCTTGGAAGGATTTCCCTACATCTCTCCTTTCAGCCTCCTCTGAGAGAGAGCCTAACACAATCACCATCCACGTGGGCCTGGTGTCCCCACGCAGAAACCCAGCCTGCCTTTTCCTTCCTCTGGAAGGAGTCACTGGCCACTCCCAGGAGCTGTAGGTGGGGTGGTGGGAGAAGCAGGAGGAGCAGGTGCCTTAGGAGTCTGAAACACAGGCTAGGCACTCACCTGAGTCCTCCAGGTGGCTAGAATCTGATCCCCTAGCATCTTTCCCCTGGGGGATGGGGTCTGCTGCATGTCCACAATGTCAGGGCTTCATGCTCAGACTGCTCCTGGGACAGTACATGCAGGTCAAGTCATGATGCCCTTGGTATCTTGAGGTTCAGGACACTGATTTCCCTGGGCCCAACCACAGCCAGGAATGACCTTCCAGATAAGAAACTGGTTTTCCAGCAGACATAGATTTTTCTCTCAGACCCATAGTTCAGCAAGTTCATAGTTTTATAGCAAGAAGCAACAAGTTTTAGGCATGAACAAAGAAATTTTAACAATCTCGAGGTGAAACCTGGGCACAAATTGCCCTTCTTTGCAATTTCCAGTAACAGGTTTTTAGTTAGACTAGTGTTTGTATTTTAGGTCTTTGTTTCTGCCTGGCACTCCCTGGTGGTGTTTACCCAAGCTCTGCACTCCCCCTAATGCTGCCAGTTTCATGTAGCAGGGACAATGCATAACCCAGAAGCCACGCACATCCCACCCACTAAAAGCTAACTCTGCTTGTATCCTTTGTTGATCATGGGTGGCCGAGTGTTATCTTAGGGCTAACTCTCAGTTTTCAGAGTTGACCCTCAGTTTGCAGAGGGATGCTTCTGTGTTGTAAATAGAGCAGCCAGTTGTAAAGCAAAGTAACCCACTGTCAATCCTTAAATTGCCAAGAAAGCTGCTGACAGCCTGCTCTCATTCTCCTAGGCTTACAACTTTGCATTTCTTTATTTCTACATTCTTATCTCTGGAATCTAAATTTCTATATTCTTATTCTTGGACTCTTCAACCACACCATACACTTCGGCCATCCTTTGGTTTCCTTATTTTGTTTTCCTTTTACCATGTGGGTCCCAGGGATTGAACTCAGGCTTGCTGGCAACACCTTTAATCCATGCGCCTTCTTGTCAGCCCTTGTTGTTCTGAACTGGATCGGAACATCTTCTCACGACCGGTTCCTAACCCTGTCTTGACCTCAACCTAAAGTCCTGATTCTTCTGTGCACTTCACACTTGAACATTAAGCAGCCTAACATCATGATTCCCAGAGACACTGTTCAGTTCGAAAGACCACTTCCCACGCTAACATCCTGAGCCACGTCAGTCTTTAGTGTCACATCTCCAGGCGCTTTCTCCGTTCATACCTCGTGGCCTCACATAGGCTAGGCAAGTTATACTGCTGAAGACACAGGAAGTCCATCATTCTGTACAGAGTCTATGGATTGAAGTCAACATACAAAAGAGATGTCTGAAGTGTTTATCTAATTATTCCTTATCAATAAAAATTCAGGAGTCAGCTATCAGGGTAAGAACATGAATGATCAGAGAAGCTGTGGAAAAGCCACAAGTGACCTCCTATCTCTTCTGTCCCTCCATCCAAAAAGGTTGAGATCCTCTCTCAGCCCTACCTTACTACTTCCTGTTTCCTATCTGTCCCCAGTCCTCCAAAACCTTTATGGTTAATTTTGGTCAACTGATGGCTAGCTCTGTTCTCTCACTAAAAGTAAAATTCCCATTCTTTCTCTTTCCTTCTCCATGTTTTCCTGGGGGCCACCTGGGAGTACTGTGATCAATTAGACCTGGTCATCTTTTAATTCGGTCAGATTTAGTCTGATTGGGATTATTTGCATTGGCGGAGAGGTTTGTTGGCCTGAAGAAAATACTTAACACAACTTTCTTCCTGCATCAGTCCCCCCAGTGCTAGGATTACAGGTGTGTGCTCTGATGCCTTGTGGAAGATCCAAATTGTTCTGTAAATTATGTATTTTCATTTTATGTATATGGGTGCTTTGTCCAGACGTATGTGAGTTCCGTGTCTGCATTCCTGGTGCTTGTGGGAGCTAGAAGAGGCATCAGCTCTGCTGGAACTAGAGTTAAGGACTCTGAAGGAGCAGCAAGGGCTCCTAACCAGACAGTGGTCCCTCCTTCCCAGCAGCATCCGTTTTCAGTGCTAAAATTTTCTCAGCTATGGTTGTTTATTCGCTTTGTTTTTGTACCATTTAGTACCACAAACTGCCTTTCTCCCCAGGTATAATTGTTATTATTTTGCTGACCTTCCCTGTCACCTGCGTATTCTGTCCCTTTAAGAGACAAACTCCGCCCACTCCCAGCACCCCCTTCTGCCTCCTCTCCAGCCTGCTCTCTCTCCCTGTCCCTCTTCTGAAGAGGTAGCTACTTCCCCTCTCCCCCTCCCCCTTTCCCCTTCCTTTTCCCTTCCATAACCCATTAAATAAACTCTATACCCAAATTCTCTTTGTGCATGATGTGTCTGTCTGTCTCTCACCTGCGGTCGACTCCCACCCACAAAGGGGACTGCTGAGGCCTCGGGTGACCCATCACTGCCCTGTAGAGGCCTCAGATGACCTGCTGCTGCCCCTCATGGGACCACTGCCCCTCATGGGACCGGCCTTCCCTCTCACCATATGGTTATAAACAATAACAACCTCTCTAGTGACAAATAAAAAACTGTAAAAAGTTTTCCTCCTGGTGGAAAAGGAATAAAGAGCCTCCTTTCATTTTGGGACATTTTCATGGAAAAAGCTATTCAGCTGCTCTTGCTAGGAGACACTGAATCCAGACAGTTTCCTGTGGTGAATTTTGGTTTTGCTCAAACAAATAAAGCTCGCCTGGAGATCAGAGTATGGAGCTAGCCACTAGTTAACCATAGAAACCACACTTTAATCCCAGCATTTAGGAGGAGGAAGCAGGAAGATCAGCAGATTAAAGTCACCCTGGGCTGCCCGAGATTGATCCAGTCTAAAAGAGAAACAGAGCCAGGTAATAAAAGCTCACGCCTTTAATCCCAGCACTTGGGATTTCACACCTTTGATCCCAGTACTGGGAAGGCACATGCCTTTAATCTCAGCACTAGGGAGGCAGAGACAGAAAGAGATATGGCTAGGAGAAGAGAGGAATATAAGGCAGGAGGAGACAGGAGCTTGTCCTTTTGGTCTGAGGATTTGGTAAAGATAAGAAGTCTCTCTAGCAATTGGCTCCTTTACTTCTCAGATCTTTCAGCATTTATCCTGATATCTAACTTGGGTTTTTATTATTAAGATCAATTAGAATTTGCTCTACATCTGGTATCCAACTCGTGGGGCACAAATTTATGCCCCTTGCCTGTGGCTTTGTAGCCACTGGTACAGGCTGGAGCTGCATGTGGCCAGAGTCCTCTCACCACATAATAATCAAAATACTAAACATACAGAACAAAGAAAATTAAAATTTGAAAGGGAAAAAGGCCAAGTAACATATAAAGGCAGACCTATTAAGGTCCTGGACAGATGTGCTGCAGACTCTAAGAGAACAGAGATGACAGCCCAGACAACCCTACCCAGGAAAACTTTCAATCACCATAGATGGAGAAAGACAATTTACAGCAAGCCAACAGCCAATATCAAACTAAATGGAGAGAAACTGAAAGCAATTCCACTAAAATCAGGGACAAGAGGCTGTCCACTCTCTCCACATCTATTCAATATAGAACTTGAAGTTTTAGCTAGAGCAATAAGACAACTAAAGGAAATCAAGGAGATGCAAATTGAAAGGCGAAGTGGGCTTTTAAAGGCTGCCTAACATATGTGCATATGCATGCATGCAAGGGCTTGCATAGCTGCAGCATGCATAGGTGATGTAGGGCCTGAGGACCTTGGATGACAATGTAAACCACCTGAGCGCTTGATAGCGCACACGCAGCCCTGGAACCATGAAGTGCCAGCAAAAGTGTTGGGTGATGGAAACCTTATTTATATTATTATAAAAATTT